GCTTACGGCTAGAAATTCCTCTTTAGGGCGCAGACACATTTCTTAGTATTACTACTCTGCTGCTTTACAGCTGCCAAAATAAATCTTGCTCATCTCCCCTCCTAGCTTACCATGTATCTCTAGGCCAACTGATGGCTGCTCCTGGCCAGGTGTGGTGGCAGCCAGGGCCGCCGAGAGCGGGTTCGGGCCCTGGTGAAAAAAAATTTTCGGGCCCCCCAGCAAGGGCGGACCGGGTAAACAGGGCTGATGAGAGAAGGGGGAAGCCGGGCCCCAGGCCCCCTTCTGGACCTCCGGGCCCTGGTAATTTGTACCAGATTTCCCTCCCCCCACCCCCTCGTCGGCCCTGGTGGCAGCAGCATCTTGGCTGGCATCAACACTGCTGATTTACCGGGACATAAGGTGTTCTGTTATCAAACCTCCATCTTTCTATTTTCTTTTTTTTAAAAATGTATGCCCAACAGCCTCACTTCCTGTAAAAGAGGGAGGGTAGGGTCATGAGCAGTAACCCGGAGCTGTGAACATGTCATATCTAATGAACTCATTGGGGCACAGTCTGCTCATTACTTGGAGAATCTTGCCAAGAGATAACCCCAAGCACGGCTAGAAGTGGGTGGTTCAAGACTGTAGGCAGCACTCTTCCCTCTGAGTCAGTACGCAGCCCGAGACTCAGACGCTGCTGTGGCAGGTCCTGTCTTTTTTGATGAGATTTAAAACAAAGGTCCTACCCTCTTGGGATCATTAAGAAAAAGTCATGCAGCACTTTTTACAAAGACTCGGTTTTTAATGCTGGTTTCCTGACCAAATCCCAGCATCAATATTTTGTGTTCAATTTAGGGGAATATTATTCTTGTAGTTCTATCGAATCTTCACTTCCTGTCCTAAACATCTTATGGTGTCTCCATGTTTCTCCTCAGAGGCGGCTGTTTTTCAGTGCGGGATGACGTGATCCCTGTAAAAAGTTTGTGGGAAAAGATTTCACACTTGATCAGGGATTTTTGGGGGGGACCTGGTTTTCAGAGACTGGGTGCTCTGCATTCTCTAGAAATGAGGCTCCTTTAAAGTAACTCAAGTTGGAACACAAAAATTCAAGGCACACACCATCACTAGTCCTACTTGAAAAATCTTGGCCAGTTAGTTGAGTAAAGCTTTTTGGGAACCTTGAGATGAAACCTTGACTGTTACATATATGTAAGATTAAAGGCCATGTAGAATGGCTATTTTTTTTTAAACTGTGACTTCAAACTATTGTATGTGTTACCTGATAAAAGACGGTTCTACATGGTGTCATACTTCTGAAGGCTCAGCAGCTAAGTTTACAATTCCCAATCTCTTGCAGAATCCCTGGGGCCCGATTCTTAGATTCTTACGCTTGTGTGGAGGAGGTGTAAGGGGAGACCACATCGGAATTCTCCCTTCGCTCGCACTGAGGTAACATTCTACATCCACTTTGTACGGGGATAAATGACTACACAAGCTGTGGGGCAGGGGCGAACCGGGATCTGGGTGCAGAACTAGGCTTGGCTCCTTTGATGCCGTTGCACAGCATAAGGGAACAGAAAAGCTTTAACCACGTGGCTTAGGGCTAGTCTACACTACGATTCGCGTAGCTGAAGTCAAAGTATCTTAGTTTGACTTACCTGGCCGTCCTCATGGCGGCAAGTCGACCACCGCAGCTCCCCTGCCAACTCCATTTATTCCTCCTGCCGAGGTGGAGTACGGGCATCGATTCGGAGATTGATTTATCACGACTAGACGAGACGCAATAAACCGATCCCCGATAGATCGATTACTACCCACCGATCCGGCAGGTAATGTAGACGTGGCCTTACTATTATCAAGTTGTTCATCAATAGTAAATGGTGTCAGGGACGTCTTAGTTTGAGCCCGGATTCATACAGACCCCGTAGTCTCTCTGAACTGCAACAGGCGTTTATTACTTCAGATCGCACAAAGAATCTGTGCTTTCAAAGAACAGAATATGAATTGAAGTGTCACACAGAGTGACCCCCTAGATACTGCTTTGCTGAGATGGTGGTTGGTTTTTTGAGTATGCCTATTCTAAGGGCGTGGTAACCCCATGGCCACCTGATGGAGGTAAAACTAGGCAAGCCTGTCAGTGAGTGCCTTGGAGCAAAACATTCAACAAATGAATTTATCGGATTCCTGAGGATGCGTCCTAAGGTTGTTGCACAGAGACTTGTGGCAGAAGCTTTCCTTGCATTCTCCCTTTGATTTGTGCTCCCAGCCAGGGACAAATGCCATAATTCAAAGTAATTACGTATTCTTTTGTAAAAGAGACACATCATGTAGTTAAAAATCACAGTTCAGGGGTCAGATGGGACATGATCACAAGTGCTCTCTCCCTCTGTAATTGGCAGGGCTTTATTTTGGATTTGCAAATTATGCCTGCACTAGCTGTGGGTATCAACAGAGATAGCATTGCAATAACAAATGTCTGCTGGCGAGTGGCATTGATTTAACCCTTCTCTGTTCAAAGTTCTTAGCACGTTCCATTTTCATGCAAACATGGAATTTTCCCCTTCACTAGAGGTGTTAAAATTAGTTCAGAAATATTGGTTTGAGCTTACTGCAGAGCCCAGTTCTGATCTGCTCTCACCAGTGTGACTGCATTGACTCTGATGGATTATTCCTGACTTGCGCTGGCCCAGAAAGCCTCATTTGTACCTGAGACAGTGTGGCAAAATAGGCAGCTGACAGATGTCAACTGCAGGAGAGGAAAGCTTGACTTTCACAGCTTTGCCGTTTCTGTGCTGAATGTCCCTTGTTAAATTTAAACACCGAGATCTCAGTACTTCAGTGGGGTTGCATTTACACAATCCCAGAAACGGTATTAAGCAAAAGTAAACTTCAGGTATCATTCACTCCCCTCAACCAGACTAATAAGGGACAGCTATCAGAGGATTCAGCCCCATTTTATTCTTGGGTTCAGTCTCCAGCTGCAACTTCCAATTGACTGATCTCTTTTGAACTGCACTACACAGCATGTCCCAGACCTTAAAGGTGTAGTAACTCCACAGTCGTCATTGTTCTTAACGCCTCATACACTGCAACGTTATGAACATTAAGGCTCCTATACTTTTGTGAAGAAGGCAAATACTGGGCTAGCCATTTAATGGCAGGTGGAGACACACAAATGTTAAGTGATTCACCCAGTACCGTAGAGTGAGAAGGTAGCAAAATTAGGCGTGGAGATTTAAATCCCAGCCTCCTATCTACACAGTATCTTGTCTCCTGCTCCATCCATACTATTGGACAGGAATATCTGGGACCCTCCACTACATTCAGATTTGGGCCTTGTCTACATGGGAAACAACCTCTTCATCTTCTCTTGTCTTACCCTGTTATCATTAATCTGCTTTGGAAGGACATAATTCTGCTTTGGAATATGGCTATAAGGTTCATATGGATGCACCCCCATTTTTAATTACCTATTTAGAGCCAGAGCATGCGCAGGATGGTGCCCAAGGCAGAAGATGAAGTAGTTTGAAAGTGGCTTTTGTCCCCCCAAAACATTTCATCCTGTGCCTATAGCCCCAAACATGCTGCTTGATGTTCCCTGTTCTACCCCTCAAATGTCTCTGGGATACTGGGAGCCCCATTCATTTCCCCCAACTACAAGAGAGAGGCAGCTCCCATGTTCTTCCATTCCTGAAGACAAGGGGACATCTCTGATCCCACATACACATTCTTGGGACCCCGTCTGCACAGATGTGTTCACTCTGCTCTTTGGCTATTTCTGCATTTGAGTGTAACCTTAAAACTGTCTTATGTCTCAAATCAATGAAGGTGGGGTTTTTTTAATTTACAGTTGCACTTGGTTGAAAAATGTCATTAAGGTACAGCTGTCCCTAATCACCTCCATTCATACTAAAATCAATTCACCACGTGTATCCATTATATTGTATTCATTACATTCATCTTCTTCTTCTATGCTCTGCTCTCATGTTTCCCTCCCGCTGACTCCCTGGCCTGTAGGGACATTTGATAGAGGTATCGTCTCTGGCTGTTCATAACTTTCCAAAAGTCTTGCCACCTCCCACCTATCAGTGAGGCTCTCTCCCTTGCTTCCACAGATGTTGTACAAGCTCCTATGACATGAGACAGATATCCCTCAGAAGTCTGTAGCCTGGTCATGAGACCACCTCCATCTTCTTTTCGGTCTTCCAGATGCATATTCCACACTCCCTTTGTGGCTTCTTGGGGTACAGTTAAACGGAACCTTTCTCATATCCAAGTGTCCAGACATTTTGTCGACACTAGGAAAAAACATGTCTTACCTTTTGTTGGCTAACCTGAGATACAATGCTCGCGAAGACTAGGCAATTTGCTGATTTAACATGAGTTAACAGGTCCAGGTTAAAGCTAGGCTCCCCCATAGACTTCACCTCAACCTAATACATATTGGAAATGACAGCCTGTCTTGTCTTCACTATGATTTTACCTCATGTTAGCTATCACATGGTAGCTGAGGTAAGAACACACCTTTCTTTCCTAGGGAAGATGCATCCTAAAGGGCTTCCTAAACCAGGGAAGTAGAGGGTAAGCTGAGTCTCCTAGCATAGCATCTGTAACCACAACACCATTAATGCCCATAGTGGTTTGGGGAGCGAAAGTTCCACTCTTCCTTATGTTAAACGGGTGAGTTTCTAAAAATCTGGGTGTCCATGGAGCTTCCATACTATCCCCTGCACCACTAATATTAACAAACCTGCTATGGTGATTAACTAGACCATGGAGAAATATCCCTTTCTGTTGAACTCTGAGGCCTGGTGGGGAGGACAAAGAATAGGCAAATAGTTCCCATCAGTGACCCCTAACCTGTTGGGAACTCCAGCCATGCAAATCCATCACTAACCCACCATGCATTGCCAGGCTTTATGACCCAGGGCAGCAGCACCCTTCCAACAGCAGGGCATAAAGTTGACTTTACCAACACCAAAGTGGCTAGCTATTGGCAGGTAGCAATTGGGACAGTACACTCCCAGAAGGCATTGGTCACGTGCTTCTCCACACTGAGGAAGGCGCTCATGCTGGGGTCCAGCACAGCAGCTCCGGGATGAGCTCTGTGCAGACTTCCAGGAAAGTCTCCTTCCACATCCTGAAGTGCTGCAGCCATGGCTGGTCATCTCAGGTATGTAGCACTAACTTGTCCCACCCGTCAATGCTGGCTGGCTGGACCCACAAGTGGTGCTCCACTAAGTGAAGCCAGTCCAAGGAAAAGTCATGCAGTATTAATTTCCCAGTTTCATCCTCCCGCTCGAACAGTATCCATGTGGCATCTTACTGCTGGTGATCTTCCATCTCCTCCAGAGCAACTGGCTTGGTGATCGCCAATACATGTGGAGCCTGTTTGTGTTAATGCTGGTCAGAAGCATGGTGCTCCGCAGTACGTCCTCCAGGCTGCCTGACAGCAGTTTGAATTGCTTTTTTAAAAAGTGAAATAGCTTGAAAATGGCACTGGCTAGCAAAAACAAACAAACAATTTGTGCCTGGGGAAGGAGTTTGACCCCAAGTCCTAGAATTTCAATAGGGTCCTGTAGGTATCCCACAATCCACCATGATAAGCTACCCATAATGCATTAAGCATAGTGCTGGGACATGGCATTATGGGATACATGCTCAAAAATGCTGTGCAGTTCCTTTTTAAAAAAACACAGTGCTTTGTGGATATGATGACTCACAAGGAAAGTAGCTTAAGCTATTTTAGATAACAGCTAGAATGGGAAT